ATTGTCAAGCTGTTTCAAGACTGGTCGTCACCATGTATGCCGGACCGAGTACCAGAAGGTTAGTGGGGGGTGGGGCGGAGCAGGGCGGGAAAGTAGTTTAGCTAAGTTAACATCATCCTGCAACTTGTGCAATAATGTGATTTCTACTTGCAATTGTTTTGTTTATTTATTTCGGTTTCTTTTTGCATTCGGGTCCCGGTATACAGGACTGGATTTACCGGGACAGTAATTTCTCTACCACTCACCGAACCCAGTATCAAGCCAGTATCAGACCCAGTATAAGGCCAGTATGTTTTAATACGTCACCCAGACCGTCCTCACAAGACCGAGGTCGGTCGTAACTCAGGTCGGGGCCCTTTAAGACCCAATACCGAACCCAGTACGTCACCGCAACCCAGTACATCCCGTACATCACTCAGGCAATACCAGACGCAGTATGTGACCCAGACCTATCACCAGACCCACCAAGACCCAATACGAGCCCCAATACGTTACATCACGACCGAAGTGATCAGACCCAGTACCAGACCCAAGTGGTCCCTCGGTACCATACAGTCACTGAGACTCAACAGAGCAATAAGCAGTGTCTGTCCCAAGCCTTCTTACGGTTACTAATGATCTATAGCAACAGTCAGGGAGCAGCCCAGTCAAACAGTTTAGCCTGGCACTTTCCTCGTAATAAAACTCTGAAAATAAGAGTTTTTTTTATACGATACAAATAATGTGTTTTGTTTGTTTTGTAATTATGTATATATTAAACAAAATATTATAAGTGTTATTTTATTCATATGATCTTGTTTCTTATTTACTAATGTGTTTAACTTTGGGGTTTATTATTTTGTTATGTTTTTAAATCGAACAAATCTTCCTGTTAAATTTTCAAGCTAATTCACCTTTATGCATTTTTCTTTCATTATTTTTAATGAATCATAATTTGTCAATATTTTTTCTTCTTCAAATCATTCAAAACTTTTTTTAATTTTGTTTCATCTTTTCTCATTGCATCAAATAAGAAAGTTTAATTCTATTGTGTTTGGAAAGGTTATTGTCTCTTCTTCTGAGTCCTCCTCTCCCCTACTAGGTGTCGCGTCAAATACTGCAACATTCTTCAACATAGAGTCAACATCCACACGCAATTGCAACTTCAGGTAAAGAGGAGAGATTTCACTGTTACTATATTGCAAGTGGTTATAGCAACATTGCAATTTCACTAGAGATGAAGTATTGAACTTAGCATGTTGCAAATTTGGTCTAGCAATATTCTGCAACAAAACTTTGAACTTTCAATAAAGGCAAAGGGGGGGGGTGGGGGCGGTAGCATAATTAACATGTTGCAAGATTGGTCAGATGAACATTGCGCATTCTCTCGCTAGTCGAATGTAGTGCAATTTAACCACACGTTTGACATTTCGTGCAGAGGGTCATCTTGCAGAATGACTTATAAATTTATGGTTGTTAAACTTGTTGAAAGAATGAGAGGGAATAAGATGAAATAGGAATAAATATTTAAAAAAAGAAAAAGAAGAATCAAAATAGACTGAAGAAGAAAGAAGAAGAGAGAGGGAGAGAAGATAGAAGAGAGAGAGAGAGAGAGAGAGATGGGGGTTGGTGTTTTTTTTCAGAGACACAACCACAGGTGACCATTGGAGGCATACAACCAGGTGTTGTTTTTGGGTGGTTTGGGTCATACTTCAAGAGGCGCAGCAAGGCTACAACCAAGAGACTGCAACCAAAACAAGAGGCTCAACTATAACCAGGGGCTACAACCACAGCTTCAAGGGTTTAACGTGAGGCTACAACCACAACCAGGGATTATAACCCACCAGAGAGGTTACAACACGGCTTTCAAAGGTTATAGCATAGCAAGAGGTTACAACCACAGCAGGTGGTTCAACTGTGTTTCAGATGTGTCAGCTTTCTGTACAAGATTCATTAGCACCACACACACACACACATGCACACACACACACACACACAGCGGGTACACTGAGCCATTTTCACCCCTGTTGGTCAGATTGTGATGACCCTGTGACTTGAGCCTTAGATAGAACGGGTCATGACATATTAATAAATAAATTCCATGAAAGATAAACTTTTTAACGATGGGTGTAACATTCTTTAAGAGACAAGGAATTCTAGATATTAATATTTTTTTCTTTTACAGTAATTTTCTAGTTGCTTTTTATTTTTTTTGCTTACTTTTTTTTATTCTTTTATTTTGCCTTTCGGTGATATTTTTTAGTACATGTCGTGGGGGAAAGTTGGCGTTAAATCTCTGGTTTATATTAAGATGTTAAACTTTTGGTTAATGTAGTCAAAATAAATAAATAATATGATTGCATATAACTCTGATCTGTGGTGGTGAAGGAATTAACTGATGAAAGAATTGTGATGGTTCTGTACCATGTAAGTCTGGTGATGTTTTAACCCCTTGAGTATGATGTTTTAACCCCTTGAGTATGATGTTTTAACCCCTTGAGTATGATGTTTTAACCCTGAGTATGATGTTTAACCCTTGAGTATGATGTTTTAACCCTTGAGTATGATGTTTTAACCCCTTGAGTATGATGTTTAACCCCTTGAGTATGATGTTTTAACCCTTGAGTATGATGTTTTAACCCCTTGAGTATGATGTTTTAACCCCTTGAGTATGATGTTTTAACCATCATCTACCATTTCTCTATTACACCCACCCCCCAAAAAATAAAAATAAAAAATAATAATAATAATAATAATAATAATAATAATAATAATAATAATAATAATAATAATAATAATAATAATAACTACATCACCGAGTTCCATTTCTGTCAAATTTAAATGATCTCAATTTCTTAAGACTGACGAGAGGTTTGGGTGACTGCCTACTGGAGGAAGTGCCCGAAGGAAAGTGACCGAAGGAAAGTGACTGAGGGAAGTGAACACAGCCCATGGTAAGAACCGGAATGCAGTGAGGGGGGTGAGAGGGAGGCAGGAGGGGTGAGAGGGAGAGAGGAGAAGTGGTGGAGGAGGTTGGGGAGGAAGATTGGAGATGAGGGCAAGGTGAAAGGAGGAAAGAATGAGCTGTAGAAGGAAAAAGTGTGCGCTCCAGGTTGGTGTGAGTGAGAGAGAGAGAGGGAGAGGGTGAGAAAGATAATGGGAGAGAGTGAGAGAGAGGAGAGGGAGGAGAGGTGAAAGTAATAGGTGGGGCTGATTGGGTGTGTGTGGGTGGTAGGTGACTGGTGGGTGGTTGGCTGGTAGGTGGTTGGCTTGGTAGGTGACTGGTGGTGGTTGGCTGGGTAGGTGGTTGGCTGGTAGGTGACTGGTAGGTGGTTGGGCGGGTAGGTGACTGGTAGGTGGTTGACTGGTAGGTGGTTGGCTGGTAGGTGACTGTAGGGTGGGTTGGTTGGCTGGGGTGACTGGTAGGTTTGGTAGGTGGTTGGCTGGTAGGTGGTTGGCTGGTAGGTGACTGGTGTAGTTGGCTGGTAGGTGGTTGGCTGGTAGGTGGTTGGCTGGTAGGTGGTTGGCTGGTAGGTGGTTGGCTGGTAGGTGGTTGGTAGTAAGTATAGCTAGATAGTGGTAGCTAATAGGCGGTAGAGAGGTGATTGATTGGTGATTAAAGGTAATTATATACACTTAAATATAATTGTTTGCATTTGTTGCTTGTTGCAGTATTGAAGTCTCCAGCCTAAAGAGAGATGACCCCTTGATTACCTTACAGATTTGGTGTGAGTGTGTGTCATTCTCTCTCTCCTCTCTCTCTCTCTCTCTCTCTCCTCACACGCACACACACACTCTCTCTCTCTCTCTCTCTCTCTCTCTCTCTCTCTCTCTCTCTCTCTCTCTCTCTCTCTCTCTCTCTCTACTAATTCAACTCAGATACCCATTCCCAGCTGGATCGACTGAAGGCACCCGTACTCGAACCATTGATTATTAGGATTGGAACGAGTGCATTATCCACTCAACCATCACTAGAATTGTAATTTCCTTTAAACACAGCTGAAAAGGACAGATGTAATTATTTATTAGCCAAGGTGTTCAAACTACCCGTAGGTTACCAATGACTCAGCATAATGAGTTTTAGGTCGGGATTCTTCTATTTTTATTAAGTCATACAATAAATACCACAATCCACCATTTTCTTGAACGTAAAGAAAATTGGTGAAGAAAGACAAAGGGAAACATTAAAATTCCTCACACAAGGTCATCATCAACATCATCACCATGAGAGGAATAGACTTTTCAATACATTATTCCCTTAGAACCAGTCAGTATAATGAGTGTACCAAGCCTGAGTGATTCATCATTTTCCCTTTCAATTTTTTTTCATCTTATTCTATTCATCTTTTACATTTTTTTTCTTTTTTTTCTTTTTTTTATTCCACTTACCTTTCTGGGTCACCATTACCACCACCGTAGACCTGGGAGTCATGTCATCGTAGGAGAAAGACGAACAGGTGGCCAAGGTTGGTGATGGTACAGATGGTGGCCTTGTGTCTGACTGTCTGTCTGTCTGTCTGTCTGTTGGTGAAATGGGAGCACTGGGGTAGTAGTAGTAGTAGTAGTAGTAGTAGTAGTAGGAGGAGGAGTATTCTTTTAACCCGTGTCAAGAGAGTGGTTTTGGATTGGGAGGGAGAGAGAGAGAGGAGGAGTGTGGGGAGGGGGGTTAGGAGAGAGAGTGAGGGAAAAAGGTGTGGAAGAGAGAGAGAGAGAGAGAGAGAGAGAGGGGGAGAGAGAGAGGAGGTGTGCCCACAATTAGTCAACACAACTGAGGGTCAATACATGACCATGGTTTGTACAATCCGTCAAGCCGCCCCCTTCCACTCACAAAAACTGATGTGTAAATTGGGAATGTATATCTGTGCTGTAAAGAGGTCAAACGCATTGATATTTTCTCATAAGGGAGATGTAAAACGCATGATGTAGAACCACGACGCATGAACAACCCACCTCCCCCCTCCAAAAAAAATGTATAAAAATAACTCCAACACTTTCACTCGTCGACACAACCTTAAGGACGGATGAATGAGGACAAACAGCACACGCAGAAGGAAGGATCACTGCTGGCATGGGTACAAACAAGGAAAATAATAAATATACAAACCTCTTGAGAAACCAACATCATTTACAGACGAAAGACTCAGAATGCATAGTTCTAGTGGGAAAAAATTCCCGCAAATAAAGAAATCATAAACGCATGAATTGAAAACTATAAACGCCTGAACATAAACAAGATGAGAAAAAGTGAAACGCCATCAACGAATGAAACTCTGTGTTTACGTATGAATGAAACATAAAACAAATTTAAAAGCAAAATAAAGTGTAGAGTGAATACAATACATTCATTATGGAGAAAAATACATGAGATTTAAAACAGGTATCCATCAAAGAATGAAAGCCTGACCTATCCTCTACTACAATACATATCAGTTACCTGCTTATAGCCAGTAATTAGAATTTACCACCTATGTATATAACCGGTACTGAGTTTATATATATACGCGTAGTTCATTAATTTATATAATTTGTTCAGAGTTTGTTTATGAATCAGTGAATAGCAGAGTTATTCACGTAATTCATCTCGTTAATTAGATTATCTGAACAGGTACACGTACAGGTAAAAAATAATAATAATAAATTAAAAAACTAATAAATACTAATAATAAATGTATTTAATTATATTACATCTCATTATTCTATTATTGTTTCTTTGTTGTCTCATAATTAGGCCGATTATTTCAGCCAAAAGACCTGTTGATAAAATTAATTCATATTAGTTGATATGTACAGAGGTATACCTGCAGTGTGTGGCCGGACTTGGTGCAGTGGCTAACATCCTTACGACCATCCGCCGTGAATACCAAGTAAAATCCCATCTTAAAGAACAGATCCGTCTCAAGGTGCTTCCTGGGCAACTGATAATAGTTAGGTCTTGAAAGTTTTACGAAATTTTAGTCGTAGACGAAATAAAACCACCTTCCATTCCTTTCCTCATTCCTCCTTCAATCCCTCCTCCCTTCCTTCCTTTCTCTTTCCTTTGTCCTCTTTCTCTCCTTCCATCCTCCTCCTCATCCTCCTTCTCCTCCTCCCTCTCCCTCCTTCTCCTCCCATCTCACTCCCCCCTCCCCTCCCCTCCCTCTTCACCCCCCCCTCCTTAGCGTGGCCTTCGTGTGTCAAGGAAGGGAAGGGGGGGAGAACCCACTATAAATAGGGTCACCGGTTCTCTCCATCACTAGTCTCTGGCTATCGATCACCGCGAGAACAACCAACTTCTTACTGAGGTAAATATAGAATAACACCTGTGAACGCCTGTGATATTGAACACCTGTGTGGTGCTGAACACCTGACAACAACCTGTGATAGTGAACACCTGTGTGGTAGTGAACACCTGTCTTCTCATGTGATAGTGAACAAATGTATTAGAATCATTACCTGACAACACCTGTACTATTACCTGGCAACACCTGCACTAGAAACATTACCTGACAACACCTGGACTAGAAACATTACTTGACAACACCTGTACTAGAAACATTACCTGACAACACCTGGACTAGAAACATTACCTGACAACACCTGTACTAGAAACATTACCTGACAACACCTGGACTAGAAACATTACTTGACAACACCTGTACTAGAAACATTACCTGGCAACACCTGTACTAGAATCATTACTTGACAACACCTGTACTAGAAACATTACCTGGCAACACCTGTACTAGAATCATTCCGACAACACCTGTACTAGACTCATTACCTGACATCACCTGTACTAGAAACATTACCTACATCACCTGTACTAGAAACATTACCTGACAACACCTCTACTAGAAGCATTACCTGACAACACCTGTACTAGACTCATTCCCTGACAACACCTGTACTAGACTCATTACCTGACAACACCTGTACTAGACTCATTTCCTGACATCACCTGTACTAGAATCATTACCTGACATCACCTGGACTAGAAACATTACCTGACAACACCTCTACTAGAATCATTACCTGACAACACCTGTACTAGACTCATTCCTGACAACACCTGTACTAGACTCATTACCTGACAACACCTGTACTAGAAACATTACCTGACTTCACCTGTACTAGAATCATTACTTGACAACACCTGTACTAGAATCATTACCTGACAACACCTGTACTAGAAACATTACCTGACAACACCTGGACTAGAAACATTACCTGACAACACCTGTACTAGAATCATTACTTGACAACACCTGTACTAGAAACATTACCTGACAACACCTGTACTAGAATCATTACCTGACAACACCTGTACTAGAATCATTACCTGACAACACCTGTACTAGAATCATTACCTGACAACACCTGTACTAGAAACATTACCTGACAACACCTGTACTAGAAACATTACCCGACAACACCTGTACTAGAAACATTACCTGACATCACCTGTACTAGAATCATTACCTGACTTCACCTGTACTAGAAACATTACCTGACAACACCTCTACTAGAAGCATTACCTGACAACACCTGTACTAGAAACATTACCCGACAACACCTGTACTAGAAACATTACCTGACAACACCTGTACTAGAATCATTACCTGACTTCACCTGTACTAGAAACATTACCTGACAACACCTGTACTAGAACATTACCTGACAACACCTGTACTAGAAACATTACCCGACTTCACCTGTACTAGAAACATTACCTGACATCACCTGTACTAGAATCATTACCTGACTTCACCTGTACTAGAAACATTACCTGACAACACCTCTACTAGAAGCATTACCTGGCAACACCTGTACTCGAATTGTGGAATCAGATCCTTACGCAAGATTCCTTTCCACAGATGATGTCTCCCAGTGTGGTTGTGGTGGTGGTGTTGGCTGTGGTGGCGGCGGTGGTAGCTGAGCCAAGCTATCCTAGACCTGATCCCTGCTACCCCAAGACTGAGTACGTCACCCACTACAAGACCGAGTACCAGCAGGTGAGTACCAGGGGGTATATATGAGGTATTTTTAGGTACTTGGGGTATATATGAGGGTATTTTAGGTACTTGGGGTATATATGAGGGTATTTTAGGTACTTGGGGTATATGAGGGTATTTTAGGTACTTGGGAATATATGAGGGTATTTTAGGTACTTGGGGTATATATGTGGGTATTTTAGGTGGGGTATATATGAGGTATTTTAGGTACTTGGGGTATATATGAGGGTATTTTAGGTACTTGGGGTATATATGAGGGTATAATATAAACATAATAGGTCATATGATCTCTGTTTTGTTTCATATATTTTACGTATTTTTTTATCTTCTTTTTTTATTGTAATTGTTTTTTTACGTTTTCTGAGACTTTTAGTTTTACACAATTTTTTTATTTTTTTATTTTTTCTGGTTTTTATAATTGTGAATTTGTTTTTTCTTTGTTTATCGTTGTTTTTTTTTTGTTTTCCTTTGCAGGTTCCCGTCTACACAACTGTTTACAAGACCAAGGTCGTCCCCACCACCCTGTACCAAACCCAGTACCAAACCCAGTACGTGACCAAGTACGAGACCAAGTACGTACCTCAATACGTCACCCAGACCGCATATAAGACCCAAGTCCAGTACGTAACCCAAGTCCAGACCCAATACAAGACCCAATACCAAACCCAGTACGTCACCACAACTGAATATGTCCCTAAATACGTCACCGAGACCCAATACAAGACCCAATATGTGACCCAGACCCAGTACCAGACCGTGTACAAAACTGAGTACCAGCCCCAATATGTAACCACGACCCAAGTACAGTACCAGACCCAGTACAAGACCCAAGTGGTCCCTCAGTACGTGACGGTCACTCAAACCAACAGACCTACAAGACCGTCTGTCCCAAGCCTTCTTATGGTTACTAATGATGAGAACAAAATGAGGAATGGAAATTTGGTTGATACTAAATTTTATGAATAATAATTTACATGATTTCTTCTTGTTCTTTTTGTTCTTGCTCTTGTTCTTCTTATTGTTCTTCTTGTTCTTCGTGTTCTTGATCTTGTTCTTCTTCTTGTTCTTCTTGTTCTTGCTCTTGTTCTTCTTCTTGTTCTTTGTTCTTCTTGTTCTTGCTCTTGTTCTTCTTCCTGTTCTTCTTGTTCTTGCTCTTGTTCTTCTTCTTGTTCTTCTTGTTCTTCTTGTTCTTGCTCTTGTTCTTCTTGTTCTTGCTCTTGTTCTTCTTCTTGTTCTTCTTGTTCTTCTTGTTCTTGCTCTTGTTCTTCTTCCTGTTCTTCTTGTTCTTGCTCTTGTTCTTCTTGTTCTTCTTCTTGTTCTTCTTGTTCTTGCTCTTGTTCTTCTTCCTGTTCTTCTTGTCTTTCATTACAATTTTATTTAGACAATTTAGCTAATTTGTCTTTTGGGATCATTTTCTTAAACCATAAATTGGATCAACTATGTAATATTTTTTCAGCGTTTTTTTCTGTAATATTCTGTAAAATTTGTTCTGTAACCTGATATTCCTTAAAGACTGTAACATAGAGAATAAAATTATGTGTGTTACTCTGACTGTTATTAAAACTATTCCAAAAATGTGTTTGATATGTAGACATTTTTTATGATAAGAGAGAGAGAAAGAGAGAGAGTGAATGGAAGAGAAATTAAGAGGGAGAGAGAAAGGGGTCAAATAGAGAAAGAACTGGGGTCTATTAGTGCTGGGGTCTATTAGTACTGGGGTCTATTAGTGCTGGGGTCGATTAGTACTAGGGTCTATTAGTACTGGGGTCTATTAGTGACTGGGGTCTATTAGTACTGGGGTCTATTAGTACTGGGGTCTATTAGTACTGGGGTCTATTGTGCTGGGGTCTATTAGTACTGGGGTCTATAGTGCTGGGGTCTATTAGTACTGGGGTCTATTAGTACTGGGGTCTATTAGTGCTGGGGTCTATGGTGCTGGTCTATTAGTACTGGGGTCTATTAGTTGGGGTCTATTAGTACTGGGGTCTATTAGTACTGGGGTCTATTAGTACTGGGGTCTATAGTACTGG